GAGCTGAGCACGAACTATAATTGTACGCAAATCCGATTCGTGTTCCATGCTTAGCATCATCCGAAACCCTTGCCGCGCGGTTTGCCTTACAAGGGATTCAACCTGAACAAACTCGCTCAACTGCAGAATGCTGAAATACGAGAATGCAGAAACCAGCTTGGACCCAAAGTCACCAATAACAGGTCGAAAAACGTAGCTCTCCAGTCGATACCGCTAAGTACCATACACATCCAAGCATCATCACACCTCACCCCGACCGTAAAAAAACCCCCGGCCCAATCAATCCAGCGGAGGCGTCATAATACCAGTACCACCACCACACTCCTTCAAGTTCTCATCCTCCCCAGCGAAGAACAGCAAAACCGCTTCAGCAGCAGCCTTAGCATCATCGTCATCATCCTCCAAACCAGGAATGCGCGAGCGATAAATCTGCTCCTGATACTCTGCCACAACAGCCGCTGGCCAACCCCCACGACGCCCAAATTCGTGCATTAGCTCCCCATTGGCAAAGGTATCAAATTCAAAGTGACCCTGGTACGTCAGGACCCGACCGGGGTTATAAAGACCCTGGATAGCACACTGCGCACTACTCCCGATACTAGACCATGGGGCCGGCAGCGAGACTCCCGCCTGGTCCGCGGCAGCTTCAGTCTCGAGGGTCGGTACAACTGCATCGCTGTGGATGAGCTGGATGCGGAATGGGTTCTCAGCTGTAGCGCGCGCAAGAGGTGGGAAGCGCGCAGTGAAGGAGGGCTGGAGGGTTATGGGTTGGATGCCCATTTCAAAGCCGGCGGGAGACTGCGCGACGTGGAATGTTGATGTTGGTGAACTGTTAGGGTTTGCTTTGGTGCTGAGGAGGGATTGGGCGATTATCTGGTGCCCGAAACAGGAACCGAAGAGCTTTATGTTTGGGTAGTGGGCGTGCACTGTTTGGATGTAGGATTGCATTGCGTGGATCCAGGGTTTGTCTTCATAGGCTGAGGATGCTGAGCCTGTGATTAGGATTGCATCTATTGGACTCAATGGTCCGCCAGCATGAAGCTCGGCTGAGGACTGGGGGTTGGTCCGTAGAGTCTCCAGAGGAGGTAGGGACCCGCCTACGGCATCAAAGGCCGTTACATGGACGGCGAGAGGTCCTTTTTTTAGGGTTCCTGGTATTTTGTTCAGGCGCTGAGCGGCTGCTTGGAGCAGGACGCGGAATTGCGAGCTGTATAAACCTCGCGCCTTGTATACCGAGAGGCAGGGAATGTCGGCGTCTAGCACGGCCACATGGATCTTGTGTTGAGCCATAGGCTTGGATATCCTCTATTCAAGTGAATGCAAAGTTATAAAAGAAAGAATATGATATGTGAGTCTACAAATATAAAAATTGAAGTTGTCAAAGGGCGCTCGCATCGCCACTCCCGATAAGGATTTGGGTAATCTGGTGGGGCATCCCAAAGAGGAAAGGCAATCCTTGTCTGCAGAAGATCTGAGGATCCGTGGATAGCACCAGGAACATCAGGAACATCAGGAACATTAAAAGAGAACAAAATCATGAAATGGTTAGATTGATTAACGACCTTGAAAGAGACAGTGAACAGGAAAAGAAAAGAAAGGAAAAACAGGTTAAAATAGTGCATTCAAAGAGCATGAAGAAGTAAAAAAAGTAAAAGTTCTAGAGAGCAAGAACAACATGCCGTATTCGAAGGTACATATGCAGCTATATCAGAACACAAGTGCTTGGAGATAGATCCATGGGTATAGTGTGAATTATCAACTGCGACAGAAGAGAACTGTGTGGTTAATAAGGAAAAAGAACGGATTACCATGTGCTCCTCCAAGCCCTAAGACCAACCCATATTTAAGGTAGAACGCGAACAAAACTTAAACCTCTCGCCCGATAGATTATTCACATGTATGGGTTCGAAGATTGACGGATGAGATCTACCTAGAGTGTTTCTTCTTTTGGATCTAATCAACCCGACTAGCCGGTTCATGCACGACGTACACGACTTGCTGGTACGGTTGTGGTCAGAATATGTTGTGCTAGAGGATAATGGATAACCTTAGTCTATCGGCCGAGACTGTGACTGGTTGAATATTAGGGATGTGCAATGTATATTTTAAAGATATATTATGTGAATATATCTATACATTACTAGAATCCTCTCCCTTGCCCTTATTCCAATGTGAATAGCTATATCACTACTTTACAACTAATCTATTTACTATACTCCTACCTCCAATAACTACTCATCAACTGTCCCATCTTCAATATCTTCAATATCTCAATTATCACCCAATCTCTCCCAATATACGTGATCCCCCACTGTCATCACAACATCCTACCCCGCAAATTGCGCCATCCCGGCCCTTCAACTTCCAATCAGCTTCATTTGTTTGGTAGCGGCACTCATTCCGCTATACAAGAAAATCCTAAGAAAAGACCAAGAAAAGACTAAGAATGCTCTTGCGTAAAATTATCGGATCTCGTCACGCCATATAATCCACTACATTGCTCACCATCTACATAGATCAGACAAAATATAAATAACCAACGACCCTGCATTTTAGTGCTTCATCTGTACATCATATTCTCTGTAATAACTGTCCACCATGGCTCCCGCTGCTACTTCTTCTCTCCCAACTGCCCCTCACAACCTCGCGGGGCCCGTCTCATGGGATCTGTTCCCCGATGGACTGAAAACCACTGGCCAACATCCCCCACTATACGACCACATCATCCCCTTCGACAAGTTCCCCAAACAAATCGACGGCCCAACAGTCTGGAAGGCCGAGGATTACCGCGAGAACCCAGAAAAATGGACGCATGTCTTCACCCAGGACCAGATCGATGAGCTGAGCACAGCATCGGATGCTTTCCTCGCATCCAAGACCCCGCTGACCGGAATCTCAAAGGTGAGAATGTCACAGTTCATATCTAGAAATCTATTAAATAGAAACTAACCATCCTTCCAATAGGCCAACTTCCAGCTCCCCAACCTAGCCGCCTACCTGCACGACCTGCGCGCAGACCTCATCGACGGCAAGGGCTTCATCCTTTTCAAGGGTTTCCCCGTCGAGAAATGGGGTAACCACAAGTCCGCCGTGGCATACATGGGTCTCGGTACATATCTCGGCTACTTCGTCAGCCAAAACAGCCGCGGCCACGTCCTCGGCCACGTCAAGGATCTCGGCGAGGATTCGACCCAGATTGACAAAGTGCGCATCTACCGCACCAATGCTCGGTAAGTTTCATCTCTCTCCAGTGAATACACAAGCACAAAAAAAGAAAATCAATCAACTAACACCCCCATCCTAGCCAATACTTCCACGCCGACGACTCCGACATTGTCGGCCTCCTTTGCATCGCCAAGGCCCTCGAAGGCGGCGAATCAGACCTCGTCTCCTCACACCACGTCTACAACACCCTCGCCACCGAACGCCCAGACGTCCTCAAGACCCTCACCGAACCAATCTGGTACTTTGACCGCAAGGGTGAGACAAGTAAGGGACAGGAAGATTACATCCGCACCAGCGTGATCTACCTCGAGCGCGGCGAGAACCCCCGTGTCTACACAAAGTAAGCCCCATCAGCACCCCTCCCATCTCCAATCATCAGTATCTAACAATAATACCAGATGGGACCCATATTACGTCCGTTCCCTCGGTCGTTTCAGTGACGCAGGAATTATCCCCCCGCTGTCAGACGCACAGCAAGAAGCCCTGCGCGTGCTGGAAGAAACCTGTGTGCGCTTGTCTCTGCACATGATCCTCGATATCGGTGATATTCAGTTCTTGTCGAATGCACACGTTCTGCACGCCCGCACAGCATACACCGATCATGCACCCCCTGCCCCCCGTCGTCACCTCATGCGTCTTTGGTTGGCAACGCCTGAGAGTGAGGGTGGCTGGAAGTTGCCTTTCTGGGATAGTAATGAGAAGAAGAGAGGTGGAATTCAGGTTGATGACCAGGTTCCTGTTGCTCTTTTGGATGCCGAGTAAGATTTAATTTGCTTTGGTTATGGTTATAGATTTTAAATGATACCTTTTTTTTCTTCCTTCTTCATTTCTTTTCTGAGTTATTTGGGGCTGGGTTGGCACTTAGTAGGGCTGTTGTATGTATATATAGGAAGGCAATGAGCTTTTTCCATATCAGCGCTGTATATACCGGTAGCTTCGATAACATTTAATAGTGCCCCTGGAGACTTTTGGAGACAGCTGAAACCCTTCTTTCCTAATAATTAATTCTAACTCGACGCCTCTGCCGTTCCTCGAGTCTTGCTTTTTCTTTGTTTTCTTCTGACGCCTCTTATCCTATCGCTACTATAAGAATAGTCGGCCGCATACCCAGATCCCTTTGACTCAAGATGATATCCGAAACGTTATATTTGACATTATATTTGAGAAAGTCCTCAGTTTTCTCTTTGTATCTAGGAAAAGCAAGAAAAGGAAGAGCAAAAAGACAGCAAGACATGCACCTAGTCTAGTGGTAGGCCACTCCACTTGGGCCAGCCCTACGTCTTTTCTGTGATTGGTCCATGGCACGAAGAAAGAGAGTGAAATCGCTACTTCCATGATATGATATGATATTAGTAGCAACTTCTAGGAGGTTCAGCAATGGACAGGTTATCGACCCCTTATTCTTTATCTTGTGCGCTTCGTTCGCGATCAGCCTTCTCAAGCCATTTGATGCTGCCCGGGTTGGTTCGTTGGCAATAGCACGATGTTGCAACGATGTTCGGGATTTGTGTCTCGTAGGACTTCGTGCAGTTTGACCGACGATGCCGCTGTCATGACGGTGTGTGAAGAGTGGCGTTGCGGTGATTCTGCCCATCACACAGAACAGCATATGAGTGACTTACTGCGTGTCATGGAATAAGCCAGATGGTGGTAAAGATGATCCTATCACTATGTAAGAAGCTAGGTACATGACGTTCCTTGCTTAATAATGGATGCTTAGCAATGGGAGACCCTGGCCCCAACACTGCGAGAATACCCCGTTCTGCACGACTGGCTCAGGTCACATCTTCTTCTCCACAGCGTATATTGCATGCCGATTTGAAGGCGGCCATCACCTTGAGAATCATTTGAGACGTTGCTTGGACCGCGGAGAGAATCTCAGAGTTGGCTGAGTGTGGTGAATTGGCGTTTACGGATTGCTCGGGGCCTTTTTGCTGAGTCTGGGAGTCATTACATTGGTTCTTCTGTGCCGAAGTTTGTTTTTCACCATCTATGGCAAACCGTTTCGACAAATTGACAAACATGTTTCGGACCGGTATCCTCTGTGCAACGATGCTTCGGCGCTTTCTCTTCGCCCGCTGGGAGTCACGCTGGGTTTGACTCGCTGCCCAGGCAGCTTCTCTCTCCTGTACGACCTGCTCTTGGCGCTTATCTTCCGCGGTCCGAGCTTAACAGCAACCCCTGCATATTCAAAGCGAGATCGTGGAGAGGAATCGCCAGAGCGTGTCGAGGAAATGACTAGAACCGGGACCAAATTCTTATAGAAGCCCCCACCAAGCTATCGGAGAAGCCCTCATCACCCGTTGTAAACTCCGATTTTAATCCCAGCAGGAATTCAAGGTTGTATAGAGAGTGAGATGAGTGAAAGGTGAATCAGGATAAGAAGCCCATATCGACATGCTACCAGCTGTAAGCGCTGAAAGCTGAGAGGAGAAAGGAAAGAGGTGAGGAAGCGGAGGTGACAGGAACTGACAGGAAACTGACAGGAAGCTGAGCGGATCTGAGGGAGCTGTCCAAGTTAGGAAAGAGGTATCATTGCATGTTAGACCCTCCCGAGAATAGGAATATATCTCCATAGTTGGTTCTTGCCGTAGGAGACACTAATCGGATAATTGATGCGGTCCAGTTAGGTTTGAAACGAGGTTCGGGTCTTGGTCCTAGTTTTGGTTTAAGGATTGTGGGGGACTGGCAAGTCAAATTGCCTGAAGAGTGGAAATTGTGTCTGAAGAATGTGAGGAAAGATGGTTTATGGTTTACGGGAGGGACGAGGAAGATATACAGAAGGGGAGAGCGGGGGGGGGCGCGCGTTCGAGAAATGCGAAGATGAGGAAGCCAATATGACCCTCCGCTGTATGCATTTACCTAATTGGTCCCATCTATCATTCATAAATCATATTCTTTCAAGGGTATTCTTATACATCGGTTCCAGCAACGCCAAAAGAAGAAAAATGCCCACACTCGACAGACGCCTGGCTGATACTAATGCAGGATCTTGTAATTACCGCCGTTAACAATCTCTAACTTGCCCTTTGAAACCATCCCGGCCAAGAACTCGCGCAACTCTTCGTTGCTGAACGGGAATCCGCCTGGAACGGCTATCTTCAACATCATGACAATACGGTCCAGAGCCATAGGTCCTTGATTCGTAAGCATGCCCACAATGAACTGCCAATGCACATTCATTTTCTCCATGGCAGCCGCCTCCGCGGATTCCTTTGCTGCTGCGGCCGCCGCTGCTTCTGCCGCTGCCGCAGCGTTGGCCGTATCACCGCCTTCGCTGTCCGAGGCATCGCTGAAGTCGCCGGCTGCGTGCGCATGGTGTTCCTCGTCTTCTGTGGGGAGAATTTCCAACACGCGGAAGGTATCGCGGTGGACCTCGGTGAGAATGCGCTTGCTGACCCAGAAGAGACAGGCGCTGCGCACAAGGGGAGGTGTCATCTCGAGCTCGTCCGCGAGTTCCGGGATTGTTTTTGTGGCGGGTTCGCTTGAGTCGGACTGGAAGGCATAGATTACGGTTGCTTGCCAGGTTGTCACTTCGTCTTTGAAGGTGTGGTTCTCTAACTCCAACTCGACGGTGACCTGGCCCAGGGCGTTGCGCCACATGAGCTTACGCGAATCCTTGCGCCTTTCGAAGCATGCCGCGTACCGCTCTTGCAGTTTATTAATTTCATCAGGAACCTTAAATTCTTGTTCTTGGAACTCCGGCCAGAAGAAGCGTGATAGAACCTTGGCGTGGAGTTTTCCGACACCTGCTTGCTTCCGATATCCGGACAATATCTGATCATTCCGCATGGTGAGATCGAGACGTCGCGAGTCGGAGATATCTTTCAGCATCACCTCGCATGCCTGTAGTGCCGAATCACCGAATCGGACCTTTAGAAGCTCCAGTACTGTAATCTCTTGGTCGTAGTTCTGGCGTTTCTGGATAAGACGGTCTGCAAGAAGAGTCTGCATTTCCTTCACGAAGGTCTCCTTCGAGTCGAACAAGCTAACCAGACTGTCAATGACATCTGCACTCTTCGATTTTTTGTAATCAGGGGCGGCATCAACCGGATCGGGCACCCAGTACAAATCGTCATAATCTAGCTCGCTCCTATTGTTTTGCATGGAATGCTGGTGGACCTTGGTCAGCTCTGCCGCCAGCTCTGACAAGGTGTCGCCGGTAGCTGTCGGTCCGTCGGTTGCCGCGGGGTCCGCCAATAGACCACTAACAATCACCTTGACGGTGTCATCGCGGTCTCTCAAGTATCGCCGGATTGGTCGAGCGATACGATCTAGCAGAACACCTTTAGGGTCCAAGATATGAAATGCTCGAATGATTGAAATGTAAACCTGCAGAATCTCGACTGTAGAAGCACCGGGATGCAACAGTCGCTGGAGCAAGTTGATAGAAAAGAAATGCGTCACGTATAATCGTGCTCCAGACGAGTTGTTTGTGAAACGTCGCAGATCCTCCACCGCCCCGCTGCTTGCAGGCCAATCAACAACCACATCAAAAAGCTCGCTGACTCGAAGCTTGCCCAACCGGGCAATACCCATTGCTCGCCACTTTTCCACGTCGCGCAAGCTCACTTCCATTGCTCCAGATTGGGTTCCAGTGGGGTCAGAATGGATGATGTCCAGAACCTGTACAACGAGCCGTGCATAAACGTTTTCAACCCATTGTTCCAGGTGCTGCGGCGCCGTTGAGGGCGACTCCCATTCGCCGGCGTAAGCGGCACGAATGAAGTCTCCCATCATGATGTTCATCACATTGGCGAACACCTTCTGGGCCTGGTCTCCGCCGAGCCCGACAAGCTGCAGCCCGTTGAGAAACGCCAAGAGTCGATCCCGTGCAATGGTCACGGAGCCACTTTCGCCCTTGACCATCATATGTGCCTGGGCTTCAGGTGATTCTTGCCTCCAATCTTTGTACGAGACAGAGTATGCCCGTTCCATCTCTGTTCCATCGAGACTCATCCTGTCCGCATCGGAATCTTCATCCAGGGTATCGATGCCCAAGATGATCACAGCATCTTGCGTAAGCTCTCTGGCGAGAAGTGGTGAAATCTTTTTCCAGGGTAAACTGTATTGAACCACCGTATGAAAGGCACGCTGTAGTTGAGCCAAGAACCCTCCTTGGTGGGGAGCAGCTATTAAAGGAAGCAGATGGTGGACGACGGGAGCGAGGTAAATTCGACGCGCAAGCTGTAAACAGTCCACAATTGTCCGGAGCAGACCTTCTTCCCCGGGGGACTTTAACAACTATAAGACCATTAGCACGGACCTACCCACCAAATTCAAATGATGCACAGCGTCCATACCTTAGATAGCCCAGTCCGAAGATTGACCAAGAAATGCCTCCTAATATCATTCCCATACCATTCAAACAATGTCCACGGAGAAGTTCGCATAAGATACTCCAGCGCCTCGGCTGTCTCCTTCGACGGAGGGCTGAGCCGGTTCCATTCTTTCAATACTTGACTTCCATCGGTATTCCGGAGTTTGTAAAGCAAGTCGAATCCCAGATTGGGTACAGATAGAAACTCTTTCGCCGTCTGCCGCGCCTGGTTCAATGTGTCTTCCTCTGGGGATGCAGCGTCCGTCGATCCCCCAATCGTTGCGAATGAGGTTGATTGCGAGTCTGCTTTGAATGTTGACGTGGAGTCGATTGATTCTTCGAATGACGCGACTGGGGTCTGCTCACGTTGGGAATCCGAGGTCGACTTCGGCGGATGAGCTTCGAGAGACGCGGGGGAGAAGACGGAGCCGCAGACGCGCCTACGTCCCACATTGAGGGGTACGGTTGAGAGCATTTTGATCAAGGGACATCGGGCATTGTGAGATGCAGCTGGTATTTTTGGTTGCTGCGAGGGTCGTGTTTGATGGGTGTCTCTGTTATGTTGCGACGGAGTTCAATGTTTGGATTGGAGGGTGGTCACGTGGATGCTTTGAAGCTTCAACTCCGATTCAATTTACTTTGCTTTGTACGGTCGATAGAATAGTTTTAAAATGTTATTGTTAATGGATGTATTCAAAGAGAAGGAGGATCTTAGGTTCCTACCAACATCAAAATCAAGCGCGAGCTACTGTAAATTGCACCATCTACATAGTATGGGGTATCGCTCCGAAACAAACAGACAAGAGGGCATGCGTATGTACGCGGTCAAATCCAAAATCAAATCCAAAAATCAAAGCCAGATCCTAGCCAGATCCTAGCCAAGGCACGCAAAAGGTCGACATAGAGTTTGTATCACCATGAACGCGTCCTACGCATTCGTTGAGGGGTCCAGGACCTGGTACACATGCAGTGTGCAACCATGTTCCACCAAGCTGAGAGTGTAGATATTTCGAAGCAAGGTATATGTGTATGCTTGAGTGCCAAGTGTCCCTCAAGACTTAGTATCATCAACCTTCTCCCACTCGCTATCGGTGCTTCCATACCCGGACCCCTCACCACCAGTGCTGAGCCGCTTCTTCGGATCGCGAGCTGTGGGCAGCAACCCGGACGTTACACTCCCGGTCGCAACGGCACTAGACTTGCCATCTGTCTTCTTGACATCGAGAGCTTCGGTCTCCGTATCGCTGTCGGCGCTTTCTCCCACAGCGGGACTTTTCCGCGTCTTCGCGTCACCCCCCTCAGACTCTTGTTTTTCTTTTTCAGCTTCCTGTGCCTGCTGGGCAAGTTTTACCTCAGCAGCGAACCAGTTGATAGACCACCATAGTCCAGCACTAATGATGGATAGGGCGACGAAGTGAAGGCTATAGGTGGCTAGGAGGAGGGCGAAGAAGATAAGCTGGAGGGCGGCGAAGGTGACGTTGGTCGCGATCAAGAGGGTCGGGGTGGGTCCTGGGGTAAAGATGCTGGACCACAGGTCTTCCATGAAGGAAGCCATGATTTTCAAAAAATGAAGTTGGGAAATCCGGAGGTTGGAGAGGAGAGGGGTCGGGAACTGGAATCCGTGGGGGGAAAATGGTTACCGGAATGGACACACCAAGACACACCAAGGGACACCGCTTAGGCAAAAGTGGACAACGAATTCCG